GTGACTAAGTAGGCTCAGTGGGTAATAATAAATGCTGATTTTTTAGGAAGAAAGAAGATGGAATGGAAAAGCACATATAATATAAAAAATATACAGTATTGTAGATCTTACTGTGTTGTTTGCTACCAAGTTGGATATAAAGGAGTTAGTTTATTTTAAGACTGTAAATTCTATCACTGTCTCACCCCACTAATGTGGTTATAAATAGATATATTGGATGAGATTGGTTGTTTTCATCCATGTATCTAAGGGATCTATAGAATATGGTAAAAATGTCCAACCATTTTTATGCATGTTACCTTTAAACAAAGTGTGGCCCATAAAAAGACAAACAGAAAAAAGAATGTTATTTCTATCTGTATGCATTTATCTGTCTATTTACTAGTGAATATCTACCACCATCCACATATTTCTCTCTAGAAACCTAATTATTTCATTACAATGAACCAGTAACAGAGATCAATGCAACTTCATAAACCAAATGCTGTAATGATGTCCATGCAGCTGAAAACATGCATCCAGGTACAATATCAGTCACAGCTACTGGCAGCACGTAGTTTATTTTGGTTGCTCTTGAAAAGCAGAGTTGAACCTTTCTACTGCTATGGAAATCCACTAGGAAAATCGAGGACCGTAAATGAAATTGAATTTTAAAAAACCTTACCTGCATTAAAAAGAAATGGCAAGGAGTTAGTCCTCTTGTGAAATGATTATACAATGAAACGCACAACACTTACATTAATAGCTCTTGGTCACCTTAGCAGTAAGGTAAGTGAAGAACTTCATGTCTTCCTGTGTTGGTTTTCCTGTCATCTTTTCCTTTAAACATCTTTGCAAAAACTTGACAAAAAGTTCAAAGAAGCACAAAACAACTCAAATAATACCTTGATAGAAAAGTAGTGGTAATACAGCAATATAATTAGAAGCACAGTTCTACAATTTTGTGTCTGGTATTTAACACCAGTAAAAACTTAAGGTTTGATCCTTTAAATTTGAAGACCTTCATTGGTGCAAATTCCCCCATTTATGTTTGGAATTTTGACATTTGGATTGATAGTGAGTTACATCCAAATTCCATAAGTGCCTAGACAAAAATAAACCAACTGAATCCATTGGGACTTGCTCAATGTTACAATTGAGGTAAGACTCATTAAATTCAATGACTTATCTGAGTAGCATCTATTAAACATACCTTAGCTGCACCAACTGTCCTACCTCATCAGGGCTTATTTTGCCAGATAAATCTCTATTCTTAGCTGCTAACCTTGGTGAGTATAATTATCTGACGTGCATTCCTCCTTATTCTTCATAATATAGTTCAAAATATAAGCCTATGGACTTAATAGTGATTTGCCCTATACCATGCATTACTTGGTTTGATTCAAACTGTGATCAGATGCATTTGGTGGTCTTTTCTATTCATTGGGTTAAATAGTACTTTGCCTCAAGTGAGATAAAACTAAAGAAGATGGAATTCAATGGTCACCTTGAGGATACTTAGTCTCACCAATACAGCCATCCACTGGACATGACTGATGGCACAATTGAGCTGAATTCCAAAAGGGAAAAAGGAGCAAAAATATTTGGATATAAGGGAGAGAGCCTTCTAGAATAAAGATCTACTTAAGAGTACTTTGATACCTCAGATGGCTTGCAGTCACATCAGACTTAAAGAGCCTCCATTGAGTAATTCTGGAGTAGATATATCTTATAGTATAAAGCTCTCTGTTTGAAAGCAGCCTGTTTTTGAAGCCATATTTGTTGCTTGTAAGCCCATATGATTTGCTGACACAACACTTTGAACCATGAGTACTTGATACACTTCTAGCCATTCTTTCTTAATTTTTTTATAACTGCCTTTCACTTTCACTTTTGCTTTTTTGTATTACATCTAACATGGGTTGATTTTCTATTGACTTCTGGAGCAAGTCCACTTATTACTCTTCTATGAATCCCTTTGACTGTGAATATTTTGTTTTGGAATTAACATTTAATGATACAACTACAATACGCCTTTCCCAGCTCTTGTGGTTGACTGTGTGTGGAGTATCCTTGGTATCACTGCTTCTAGCCAAGCTTTGTCTCTGGCGGATCTATGAAAATTATTCTGTACTCTGCAAAAATGTTATTTTCAACACTTCTTTTGAAATCTCCATTGGCGGCTTCGACTGACTACTTATCCAGAATAGTGCTATTAATATTTATAAGCGTTCAATAATGCAGACTTTTGTGTATCTTGTAGACCATATGCTGCCCTCTGTCTTTTTAAAACAGCTGAACCAACAGAACTCTCCATTACACCATGGTGCTATTTTATTTTATTTTTATTTTTTTGGTGAAGAGTGGAAAAAACCAAAGCACATGCATAAACATCCTTCAACTCAAATTATTTTTTAAAGTCACTTTTCTCTCAAAATAGGAAATTTTTTGTCCTGTGTCTGCCATTATTTTACTATATCCATTGTGACCCATTATAGAAACAAGGCTTTGGATTTTGTTTTTGTTTTTTAATATCTTTGTTATGGGGTGATGAGTCTGAGAAACTGGTGGGGAGAGACAGGCTGAAAATTTAAATTCATGAATATCAAATAATGAATAATGCATAGCAATAAGCAGCTTGGAGAAATCCATTTGGATAACACAATGTAGGTTAAAAGTGATAATATGTCTGAGCAGCATTCTGAATTACTGTACTTTATATGAAGGGTGTGTCCAGAGCTTCATGCTAATTTATCTTTGGGATTCCAGAAAATCTGTGTCTACAGTTCTATTTAAGCATATGTTTCATATTTATGGCAATCTGTAAAGGTTCATTAATTGGAATTATAATATAGGAAAGTTCTAAATCGCCTGGTCAATAATGGAAAATTAATGGAGATAAATGATTGTGAAATGACCTCTTTATGCAGAGACAACGGAGGATCGATTCTCTCTCGTTGGGTGGTGTTTGCTAAGATAACCATGGTCATAGCTATGGTTAACTAACTTTTCATAGCTAACAAAGAGCCAGCTTGGGCTAGTGGTTAAGGCACCAGGCTAGAAACGGGGAGACTGGAAGTTCTAGTCCCACCTTAGTTATGAAAGCCAGTTGGTTGACTTTGGTACAGTCACTGTCACTCACCCAACTCGCCTTATAACTCGGCTGTTGTGGGGAAAACAGGAGGAAGAAGGTGTGTTGGATATGTTCACCGCCTTGAGTTAACTTATAAAAGTAATAAAAGTGGGATATAAATTTTTAAAGAATCTTTCAGTGCTCACTTCGGAAGGAAGCGATTTCCCTTTCTGCGTGGTGCTGAAGGGACAGCGACGGCCCTAAACAGGAAGAGTTCTCTCGTTCAACTAGACGAGTCGACTTGTCCACCAATAGCTATGGTGTTTAGGCAACGTTTGAATAAGGCTCTGTTCACAAATGAATGCAGGGCAGGGACAGTTTTATTTACAGTTGTCGATATGGAAGCGCAGCCCTGTTCTACCCATAAAAGAAGGGATTACGATTCTGTTTTAGGACTATCGTTTTCTTGGATCTGTTCAGATGTCACAAAGTCGTGTTCAAGCTTTTGAGTTCTGCAGAGCTCCTCCTCAAGGAAGATAAAAAGGATGGGGAAATGCTATAAGAGAGAGAGGGAAAGGAGAGAGAGGAAGAGAGAGGGGACATGATTTTGAAATCCTGGTGTTAATTGCACTGTTAAAATTCAGTACTACAGAGCATGTGCTTTGCAACATCAGCAATACTGCATTTAGGGGCGAAGGATTTTAGATAGCAACTGGGTTGGAAATAATACATCCCCAAGACTTTAAAGAGCTGTCTAGAAAAACATATTTGTCTTCCTAGACCTGAAGTTTCCAGGCAAGTTTGATGGGTCATGTAGGGTGGTGAAATAGTAGGAGTCGCTTCCAACCTATCTAAAGGGCACCTGGTTGGGGAAGGCAGGAGTGAATAATATACTATGGATCAAGATGACCATAGGGAGACATGCACGTTCAATGTACCTTCCAGCACACAATTTGATTTATCTAGCACACAAAAGAGCCACTTCAGAGCCTTGTCAAGGTCAAATCTTTGTGTTCTGAAAATTGACTCTCCCCTCCCCACCACCGCCCACCGCCAAGAAATTCTCTTCCCTTGCTTTGTCAGTGGTTTTTCTTCCCACGGCCAGCAGCAAGGGGTGAGGGAAGGAATATTTTAAGCTACTGCAGTGGCACCCCGCCCCCCCCCGGCTTTTTTTTTTTGACTCGGCAGTTCCACCCCTCTCTCCCGCACCGATCTCTGTGCCCAAATCGGGTCCTTCTTCCACCCGTTCCTGGAAGAGGCCAGTTTGCGAACGGAGGCTTCTCCCAACAGAGGGGCGTGGGCTCCGAGGATTCCCACGCCCGCTTTTCCATGACTTGGCTGAATTAGGGAAGACTTCTGCCTTCCAGAAAAGAGGGGGTGCCTCGGCTTCTGCGACACCTCCACACGCCCCCTCCTCTTCCCTACCACTTGTAGGAGCTGCAGCGCGCCGGGGCTTCCCCCTTCGAAGCAGCTGGTCCAGTCCAATTCGCCAATTCCGATTGTCACCTCATTTCCGGATCAATCCTTAATTTCTGCTGCAGAGTGAGTGGGGCTTTCTCACCCTTTCCCTCCCTCGCCCTTCGCTCCTTTCCTGCCCACTCCCCCCGCCCCTTCCTCCTCATCTGGCTGCTGGGAACTTGAACCCAGCCCTCCTGCCGGCTGCGCTGCACCTACCATCTTTCGCCCGCCCCTCCACGCCTTTCCCGGCGCTCAGCCTGCCAACTTCGCGTCGCCGGGCTCCCCTTCCAACCGACCCTGCCCGGCATCTACGAAGGCGGGGAGAGGCAATACAAAAGGCTCGCTTCTCGCTTCTGCCCATCCCCGTTTCCCGCAAGGGCCGGAGACTCGGGCTCTAGAGGCTGCCGGCTGGCCTGTCCTCCGCCGCTTTCTGTCTCCTCCAGAGGATCGAAGAGAGCCGGGCGAGGCGAGGCGTGCCCCGGGGCGAGCCATGGCCGAGAAGAAGCAGGCGGCCAAGCCCGGCGGCGAGGAGGAGGAGGAAGTCCCAGCCTTCTTCAAAAACCTGGGCTCTGGCAGCCCCAAGCCCCGGCAGAAATTCTGTGGCATGTTCTGCCCGGTGGAAGGCTCCTTGGAGAACAAGACCATCGACTTCGACTCCCTCTCCAGCGGACGCGGCTCTCCCACCGGCAAGATCGTGGCCAAGCAGCGGGACGTAGCTCACCTCGGACCCGACGCGCCCTCCTCGTGGCAAGGCAGGAAGGTGGAGATCCGGAGAACGACCGGCAAGGAGGCTTTGCAGAACCTGAACGACAAGGTGAGTTGGAGGCCGGGAAAGGGAGGGTGGGGTGTCAGGTGCTTCCCTCCCCAGCCCGCCCCCGCGCCCAGATCCAAGGCTTGAACGTTGCCGGGGCTGACCGAGCAGATTTCAAAGGCGATCGCCGAGGTGGCGTCTTTGGGAGGCAGGCGGAAAAACCAACAGACCCAGCGCCGCCCCCGCCCCCCCCCCTTTCTTTCTTGCTAAGGGGAGATCGGAGCTCTGAGCTGCAAGCTGAGCTAGACGAAAGCCCCACCCACCTGATGCAGGGGTCCAGAGCTGTAGCGAGCAATTGCTAGACAAAGGTGCTTGAATGGTAAACCCAAGAGAGATAATGACATGATCACATCAATCCATGGCTCACAGCATTGAAGGTCCTTTGGACCTCTGCCTTCTGAGACCCCGGGACTCCCCTTTCTTCTGTCAGTCCCTTCAGGAGAGAACTATAAAAAGTTCTGAGCCCTCATGCTTGTCTAATCATTGGCAACAAATAGGAGACACTATTTATTGGGCAGTTTGCCCAACCTTCCATTGGAGAAGTTCTTCAGAAGATCTTTCTAACTTGGAGCCAATGCTAGTCTGTCCAGCCAGGTTTGTAGCTCACTGAAGCCTGGTTTTCTGTTCTGGAGGTGCACAGAATAGATTGTACGTTTCTTCCAGTTACACGTGTGTCTTAATTCACTGAGCTGGTGGGATTTGTAGTCCAAAACAATAAGGATATCCAAGCTGATAAAGGCTGACCTAAAGATATGAAGTAACCGCCATGCCTAAATAGCAAAAACCTTACTGTACATTTTGCAAATGGGTAAGAAATTTGCTCCAGTCATGATGACAACAGCAGTAGGAAACCAATAATCCAAAAATTCTTTAACTTGAGGGGAGAGTTGATGCCAGATGCCACCTTGCAAATAGCTTGGTCCTGAAATGATGTGCATTAGAATGGGAGGCAGCAGATCTTTCAAGAGAGACTTTTATAGGTGATGACTTAATCTCACATTTCATGTGTTGAGGAAAATGTCTCCCCAACTCAATAGTTCTTGCCTCAACACTGGGCATCTTCAGGCACAGTAGATATATTTTAAAGCTCCTTGAGATGGGCTCAAGTTCTGATGACAATATAGAAAAATCCATATTATGTTCTTAGTAACAATGTGGAAATGTTTTTTCCCCATTGCCATCTTCAAGAATCTTGTTGGCTTCTCAGGCTAGTTTACAAGATTTGGGTTTCCTGATGGCTTCCTATCCAAGAACTCGGAGATCCATGTTCTCTTGCTCACCATTTGTTTTAGATCAATTAAGGTGGCCTGGATGCTGCCATCTGCTGTTGAAACCAAATAAAGAGGCAGGCTGGCTATATTCACACAGCCGACCAAACAAGATCACATCCCAGGCTCTATAATACCCAGAAGTGTGAAATGTCTTTGTACTGGTCCAATAAGTCATTTTTGTCTAAATAGACCCATGGCAACACATGGATTCAGAGTTTCAAATAGGACTCTTTCATATGCTAATCTGGAAATTCCTTAATCAAGGACTTTTGATATATAAAGGATGAGCTTTGTTGGTTTTCTTTTTCTTATAAACACCCCATGTGCATCTTTTGTACAACCTACAACTCATCTTAAAAGATGTTCAGAATGGACCGATTGACTTCTATGGAGTTTTGAATTTATATTATGATAGCCCAATGGCTGAATTAAAGAAGCTATGAAGGTTTGCACCTTAGCAAGTCCCAGAAATGAGATGACTAGGTAGAGATGTCCCATGTTCTTAAAGGAAAAGATACTATGACAGCTTCATATGGAGAGTTTTCTTTGTGCAATTCATAGAAATCATAGAAATTGTGCTAAAACATTTTTGACAGCAGAACTTGGTATCTTTTCTGGGAAGTGTTCACTGTACTGCTCTATGAATAATGTTGCTTAGATGGCAACCTGCATTCATCACACAATGACCAAGCAATTCTACCTCCAGCTCTACCATTAGGCAGAGGGTACTGATTATCTCAGGAAGTTGGTTCTGGCTGTCATTGATGGGGCAGTAGACTGTGAATCATATGCTTTATTATATATATATATATAGTTACTCCCAGGAAAAGGAAGTTTCTTATGCAAAATAATTTGACCAGCTACAATTACTCTGCATGCACTCTTCCATGCAAAGCATCAATATTGTTCATAGTCTGGCCTTGGGGAAGAGAGGCTGATTTCTATGCTTTACTTGCCAAGAGAACTCAGAAAAATCAAATGAAATTGACAAGGATGTATAGTACGAATTGACAAACAAAAGTTGCATCTACAAGTTCAGCTTGTTCCTGTTCAAGGTTCATGTAGACACTGCATACTGAGAATGGGGAAATCCAACAGAAACTCAATTCTAGGGCTTTCTAGACTTGGACTGCAGTGAAGTGTTTTCCATATCACTTGCGGCTCCAGTATTTGTTCTGGTCTGGAAAAAAAAACAAGAAAAAAATGGCCTCTGCCAATTTTGCATCGCTGTCTCACCTTCTCTGATTCAAAGGAAGAAAGCTCCTCAGTTCTCAAGATGGCCAGTGATATTCCAGGAGCCCAGGAAGCATCCTGCATCAGTGTTTCTCAGGAGTAATCTAATTATTGGTTATAGAAATGAAACATTCATTTTATAAGCAGCATATTGTACATCTATACTGCAATTGCTGGGAGAGGCAGATTTTAAAAGGATAGTATCTGCTTCCATCTCCTTAATGCATGGACTTCCTAGATGCATTTGACCTGCAAAGAATGTTAGATCCAATGATATTTTTGGGAACAAGCTGTGCATGCTTCCAAAATAATTCAGATTTTTCTAGTCATCTCTACAAGATATAGCTGCTTTAAGAGCTGTGATGACTTTAACAAGTAGACTCCTTAGAGTTGCATTTCTCAACCTTGGCAGCCTTAGGTATGCTGGGAAGATCAGCTCCCAGAATTTCCCTAGTGTTCTCAGTGTTGAGGAACATTGCCTTAAAGCAAGGGTGCTTAGATCTGGCCCACAGGGCTGCCCTGAAAATAGCAAAAGACCAGCCCTGGGTGCCTCTGCCAGCGAAAACAGAGTTCGGGCGGTCTGTGTGAGGTCTCCCAAGCTCCATTTTCGCTGGCAGAGTGCTTTAACTACCCCCAGCAGACATGCCTAGATGGAAATATATATAACTTCTTTCATTTGCTTTGAATAGGCTTATGGGCTTTTCAAGGGCAGCATGTGGTTAGGTGATAACCATTTCAGAAACTTCAAAATATGAGATGCAAATTTTTGGCAAATGAGAAAATTTTTAAAAATTTCTTTATTTTGGATTTCTGCTCCAAAGTTCCACTGAAAATTGACACAAGACAACTGGTGTTGCTGCTGGATTCAGTGACCAGCTTCACACTTTGAAATAAGCCAGTTTCCTTAACTAGGATTTATGGAATAAGTCATAAGAGATTGGGCCTGTGCAACTGACGTGTAATAAATCAAGGTTTACAGATCATGATAGTCCTCTAGATTCCTAGAGGAGAGAGAGTACATTCCAGAGGAGCAAGAGACAACTAAAATGAGATACTTTGTGTGAGAAAAAGAGGGTGAATATGGCAACTCTTTAATAGTTCTCAGAATGTATGCTTTAGCAGTCTGCTTGAGTCTGGCAAGATTCTGTCTATGAGTGAGGAACAAAAATAAATCTGCCTGGAGGAATCACCACATGTCTTTCTTGAGTTTTGGAGTCTGACAATTCATTAGCAAAGTTTTGAACTTTTCGGGGAGGTATGGTGAAGACATCTTTACAAACCCAATGACTGAGGCAAAACCCAAAGAATCGGTGAGTAGATTAGTTCTTGGAATGTCTCTGGATAAGGACAAGATGGGAGGTCACCCGTATGTGCTCCAAAGGTGGTATTCAGCAGGTTCAGCAGGTAGCAGAAATTTTGAGTAGTTCGGAGAACTGGAAAATACCACCTCTGACTGGAGATTTTACAGTATCCTTCCCCTGCCACGCCCACCAAGCCATGCCCACAGAAAATCTGAATCCCACCACTGATGTGCTCCAAATGGCTGCTCCTTGTGAATAGATTTCAGGACAGTGGTTTTCTGAGGGTTTAAGCACCAGAAGATGGGAGCCACCATCCTGAATGCAACTGTATCAGAAGTTTTTGAAGGACACTGGGTTTGCTCATCTCATTTTCTAATCACTGCCTATTAACTATTTTAAGTTATTAGAGACCTTAGGAATTATGAGTTTGAGAAGTCTATATCAACTTTACTTTCAACGCTGAATGAAAGAAAAATTAATTATATGCTTAAGCACTTAATAAATTTCAAAGTAACAGCAAGAGGCGAAATATGATTTTGATCTAGGAATGTTATAAACAGATTAAAGATCCAGATACATTTGGAAAATTGACTTTTATTATAAGATTTTGGAATTAACTATAAAAAATAAATAGTTTCTTATGGGGAACAGATTTAATTTGGCTATTTTTGATACTGTAAATCATAACAAAGATAAGTGATGATTTTAGAAACTGGATACCAGAGGAGACTAAAGATTCTAACTAGAAGAAAAACAAAATACAAGCATGTTCTTGATGTCAATTAATATGGGATTTAGAAAATGGCACAACATATTATAATATTGGAAGAATTAAAGAGATCTTTGAAGAATGGAACCATAAATTCATAACTACAATATCAACAAAGTTAGTTACAATGTCTGCTTTTATAGCTAGACAATGTCCAAAGATATAAACAAAGGAATGACAGATGTAGAACAAATTTCATCTGATAGGCCATTAGAATGATTTGGAAAAGAATGCTTTGCTAGATATACAAAATAAATAAAGTTTTAAAAATTAAAAGGAAAATAGAAACGTTAAACCAAAAAAATGAACTGGATTTTTTTTATCTACAAAAGTAAATTCTTGAAGAAATCTGTACATAGAGACAAAGAATTGAAATCAAATTCAACAATATTTGATTGCATCAAAGATTAAGATTGCTAGAAGTAAAGG